AGCTTCAGTTAGCAGCAGTAGCGAAGGAATCGCTCCATTGGGTTCAGTTAACGGTCATCGATCGATCGCTCGGGTTCAGTAACGCGTAGCCTGCAGTGCAATCGCCCGGGTTCAGTTAGAGCCTAACGCCTCGCTCGGGTTCAGTTAGAGCCAACGCCTCGCACACACGCGCGTACGTACGAGAGAAACGCACATCGCTCCGCCCCCGACCTCCCACCGCAACCGGCAACTCCCTGAAATTTTTGTCCCCCTCGCTTCTACCATGGTTTTTTCCGTCATGGACGGCCCAAAGAATGTCATGCAGCTGCGTCTCCGGACCGCCCAGGACGAAAAGCCCATTTTCTGTCATGATTTTTTTCATAGAAGTAGGAGCCCACCACATCTATGATGATACCGGGTATTGTCACAATTATCGTCATAGAAGTGTCATATGTATGACAGAAAAAAATTCGTTCGGCCCAAAATGTCACGGATGTGTCTTTTTTTTGTAGTGGTGGGACTATTAATTGGAATCTGAAATTTTTGCACAAGTGTAAGGCGAACTCCGTTTGATGCAGCCGTGAGGGAGGGAGGGCAGGTTGTGAGGTCGAACATTTTTAGTGGCCCAAAACAAAAAGAAAATTGGCCCATTGAATTATGAAGCTAGAAACAACGTACGGAGCCGAACACGGAGCCCGGTGACGTACCAAAATGGACGACATTGTGGAAGAAAGAAGCAATAACCTTTTTATTATTAGGGATAGATAGATTATTTGTATTCAAAATAAAATTTATTTATGAAACAATAATAACATTACCTCGGGTGAAAAATAGTGAGTCTGACACACACACAAAAGACAAACAAACTAGACTTCAGGAACAGGGACTCGTAGGACAGGGCGTAGAAGAAGACCGGCCTTCCGCCGCACCGTGAGGCCGAACTCCTCGGCCATGTCCAACTCGTTCCCCGGTGGACTTTCCCAGTCAAAGTGGAATAGCAGGCTTGCAAGTGCGAGCTCCACATTGGCGAGGCCAAACACTATTCCGGGACACATCCTCCGGCCAGCCCCAAACGGTAGGAAGGAGAAGTCGGTGCCCCTGAAGTCCACCATGGCCGCCTCACCCTCGAACCGCTCAGGCCGAAACTCATCCGGCTTGTCATGCCAGTAGCTCTCATCATGGGCCAGTGCCCAGGCGTTCACCAACACCTGCGTGCCCTGTGGCACATCATAACCGAGCACCTGGCATGGCTCCCGACATTCCCGTGGGACGAGCAGCGGCACAGGGGTGTGGAGTCGCAACGTCTCCCGGATGACTAGGTGCATGTACGAGAGCTCGTCAAGGGCATGCTCCAATATTGTCCCGCGGGCCTCGAAGGCTCGCCGAACCTCGGCTGTCGCCTTCTGCATCACGGTTGTGTTCCTGATCAGCTCTATGATTGCCCACTCCAGTGTTGTCGCTGCCGTCTCGCTGCCGGCACCAAATACCTCCTACGATCATGCAAAACATTGATTTAAGAGAACTATTCCATTGTAAAAAAGAAGGGTTTCTCTAAGTTTGGTTCAAACAAAATTTTCTTACTCAGAAAACTATGACTTTAGTTCACTGAGTTGCAGTTTTCTAAATGTGCAATAAGGTGAAAATAAAGGTATTGAAAATTGCATTGACATTCGCTAATTAATCGGGCAAATATCAATCGAGAACCTCCCCTCTTTCTGCCCTTGGTAAGTAGAGTAGTACTTACGAAGTCCCGGTGAACTTATGGATCTTCGCTACCTGCTTTATGGCTTTATTTATAAAGTCGGACGCATGCCTTTTCTCTAAAAAAAAAAGTAGAGTAATACTTACGAAGACCATGTATTTGACGGTGTCCATGTCGATCCTGCCCTCTTTCTGCATGCTTAGAAGGACGTCCAGAAACTTGTTCCCGTTCCGTCCTTCCATTCTCCTTTCACGGATGATGGTGTCAAAGATGCGGTTCCCGGTGTCGCTGCACTCCTTGGCGCGGCGCCCAGCCCTGCTGAGACAGCCGGCCAGCAAGGAAGACGGCCACAGGTCCGTCAGGTTGAACCCGGCCACCAGCTTGACTGAGAGATCGAGCCAGCGAATGTAGGCGTCGCGCTCCTTGAGCCGGTCGCCAATGACGACGCGGACCGTGATGTCAGTGACGAGCGCTGAGAGGCGGGCGCGCAGCTCCATGGGGCGTGCGGCCGCCGCGGATCCTGCGACATCCCGTAGCATGGAGGCGACCTCCTCCTCTCGGATGGTGCGGAAGGACAGGACGCGCCTCGCCGATAAGAGCTCCGAGACGGCAATCTTCCTGAGCTCGCGCCAGTAGTCGCCGTACGGAGCGAACACAAGGTCCCGGCCGCCGCCGGTTAGCACGCGCAGGGTGGCGTTCAGTGGCCGCGTCGCGAATGCCAGGTCGTGGGTCTTCATCACCTCGCGGGCACCCTCCCTGGACGACACCACCAGCGTGGGCACCTCCCCGAGCCGAAGGAGCATCACCGGCCCGTAACGCCGGGCCAGGTCACGCATCGCGTGGTGGGGCAGCTGCCCAATGAGGTGGTGCAGGCTACCAATCACCGGCAGCTGCCACGGCCCCGGCGGCTCGTTCCCTGCCGAGCGCCTGCGCCTGTAAAGAAGCACAATGCACAAGGACACGAGAGCAACGCCGAGGTAGACGACCTCCATTTGCGTCATGTACAAATGAAGGAAGCCCCGTTTGTTTTATTGAGCGCGCCGAGTCAGTCAAGACCGACCTGATATCAGTTTGTTGCAGCTAACTACTCGTACTATATACAGTATATTTCACTGTATAAACTACTACTATGGAGTACTACCATCAACAGCCGTTTAATTGTTTATGGCGGCTGCTACGGACCAACAGCCGTTTCATGCTCTCCTAGCTTTTGATGTGTCAGCCGTCAGATATGTTAGCAGTAGACGCGTTCCTCTCGTAGAGAGCTGGCTTCGAACATACTCGCTCTGTCTCATAATATAAAAATGTTTTTAACACTAGTGTAGTGTTCAAAACGTTCTTATATTTTGGGACAGAGAAAGTAGATGACTGTTGTGCTCAACGCGTTGCTCTGAGAAAGGGAGCTGGCTTCCTTCTTGTTTTTTCTTCGACCGATCACTTTCTTCCATTCTCTTTTATGGGACACATTCTTTTTTTCCAAGAAAAGCAAATCGTTGTAGCAAGGTGCACAAAAAAAATCAACTTACAAATGCGATCGCCAGGCTGGAAAACTCATGAAGCACCAAAAAGACCAACCAACCTTGCAGCGCCACATGGCCGGTTTTGCAGTAAGAAAAGACTTTGCATCAAGGAGAACAACTATAGTTGCAACAGTAACAAGGGGACCGGAATTGTACCATCGCATGGGCAGCTTTGAAGTAAGAAAAACAACGCTGGTGGTTTACTTTGCAGCAAAAGACAAGATGGCCTTGCAACTTCACGTGGTCGGCTTTGCAGCAAGGAAAGCAACTATAGTTGCAACAGTAAATAAGGTGACCGGCTTAGCAACAGAAAAAATATGCATGTGGTTGCTTGCAACACTGTCATGCTTCCTCTTGTAGTGTTGTGCGTCCCATTTGCAACAACG